GGACAAATGAGGCAAGGCACCAAAGATAGCAGGAAACAGTTTTATTTGGCTGCAGCCAGGTTCAGAGGGCACAGCTTTTGCTTCCAAGTTCAGGGAGTTTCAGAATTTTATACCCAGCATGTAAGGGGAGGGGCTCAGAAGWTCACAGTCTGCAGAAGTTCACATAAAAGCAGMTTTTTCTTTCACTGTTTTGGGCAARATAACCTTCAAGGAAAATACCTGAGAARRGGATATCTTCTTCTCCCCTTTCTTTTCTCCTCCTGCCAGCTGTTACCATGGAGCCCAATTGTAACTTATCTTAAAAATAYARACATCTCTGTGAAGCCCCAGCTCAAGGCCAGAGGCCATGTTTGCACACTTCTTCAAAGAACTATACTGGATATGTTTGTGAAAAACTAGTAAGGGGGTGTCCAGCACCTGGAGTGCTGGTATCTTCTCGGCCAGTAGCCAAGTAAACAGGGCGACATGAAAATAGGAAATTTATCTACATTGAACTTTTTTGCGAGACTCTTTTGCTGACAGTTCTAAAATCAGTCTGGGTGAAGATTTCTGGAGAGGCCCAGTTAAGACTTTTCAGTGGAGAAAGGGATTGCCACTTTAGGGTGGCAGAATAGTGGAGCTCCAAATATGTCCACTTCCTAATCCTGAGAGCATGTGGATATTTTACCTCACATTGCAAAAGGGCTTTTCAGACAAGATGAAGACAAGGATCCTTTCTCTAGGCACAGTGGGAGATGCCTGTTGCTTGGAAACTGAAGCAGAAGCATCCCATGTTCAAARCTAGCCTCAGCAACTCAGTGAGGCTCTATGCAACTTAATGTGACCCTGTCTCAAAGTAAAAAATAAATAAAAGGGCTGYGGCTGTGGCTCAGTTTTTGAGTCCTTTGGGTTTAATCCCAGTACCAAAAAAAAAAAAAAAATGTTTTCACTGTGAGATTATCCTGGTGAATCCTAAATAAGATGTGTCCAATCTAGTGACATCCTTACACTGTATCCGCAAAAACAGATAAGCCTTTCTGGCCCTCATCAGAGGGAGATGTGAATACAGAATTATGAGAGGGTTGAGATGTTTTGGTTTTGAAGAAGGAAGGGGTAAAACAAGGAATTCAGGCAACTTCTAGAAGGTGAAAAAGGCAAGAAAGTGAGTCTTCCTGAGTTTTAGCTGTTTCAGCCTACTGAAACCTCGTTTATATCCCAGAGAGACCCAGGTCAGGTTCTCACCTACACATTGTAAGATGATAAATTTGTGTTGATTTGAGTCATTCAGTCTATGGTAACTTGTTACAGCAGAAATAGAAAATTAATTCAGTGGGTCAGGATGTTTCACCCMCATGTCACAGAACAGTGATGACTGCTTTTAATGAACACTGTAGAGAATGACTGTGTCAGGGGACAGTGATGAGATGGAAGGAGCAGAAGATCAGCTGCTGCAGCAGGAAATAGAAATACCTCATCTTCTCTTTTGCTTCAGGGACAGGAACTGTGAGCCTCCCCCTTTTCCCTGTCAGCAACTACTAAACCCCTGCCCTAAGACTCAAACACCATCCTGCAGACCCTCTCCTGCCCTCCCCCACCTGTGCACAGTGTGCAGCACAGACCTGAGCAGATGACCCCAGCATCCTCCTTGTGACTGCAGTTGTGCTGCCCCCAGTCCTGGGAAGGGCACTGCCACACATGGGCCTCCTCTCCTGTGCAGTTCAGCTCGTCCAGCCAGATGGGCCCTGATCCCTCTCCAAAGTGAGCARAGACGGTGGCCTCCAGGGCCACTCCACAGCCCAGCTGTCTGCACACCACATGGGCATCACTCAGGTCCCAGCTGTCATCACAGATGGAGCCCCAGGAGCCCTGCTGCAGGATCTCCACTCTCCCTGCACAGTGACTGCCCCCATCCACCAGGCGGAGCTGTCTGCTGTCTGAGAAGAGACAGGGTCATGTCAGTGGGCATTTGCACAGGGAATGGGGAAGCTCTGGTGCTGGGGTCCTTGCTCACCTGAGCAGTTGGCAGTGTGGCCCTCTGAGGCTGCAGAGCCTGCTGGGTCAGACCAGGAGTCATTGCACTGGGGCAGCAGCTGGGTCTGGTTTCCTACAAAAGGGATTAGAGAGCAGGAAACTGAATTAAAGTACATAATAAGTCCTTTGGTTATAGCCAAATGGTGTTGTTTATAGCCGTACAATTCACAATAGCTAAACTTTGGAGCCAACCTAGATGCCCTGCAGCGGATGAATGGCTAAAAAAAAAAATGTGGCATATATACACAATGAAATTTTACTCAGCAATAAAAGAGATCAAAATCATAGCATTTGCAGGTAAATGGATGGCTTTGAAGAAGATAATGCTAAGTGAAATTAGCCAATCCCCAAAAAACAAATGCTGAATATTTTCTCTGATATAAGGAGGCTGACTCATATTCGGGTAGGGGAAGCATGGGAGGATTAGATGAATTCTAAATAGGGAGGGAAAAGGAGGGACCAGGGGATTAGAAAGGGTGTGGAATGTGATAGACATCATTATCCAAAGTACATGTATGAAGACTCAAATTGGGTGTCAACATACTTTCTATATAAACAGATATGAAAAATTGTGGTATATATGTGTATTAAGAATTGTAATACAAAAAGAAAACCAAAAACAAAGTACATGTATAAAGGCATGAATCAGCGTGAACATACTCTATATAAAAAGATATGAAAAATTGTACTGTATATGTATAATAAGAATTGCAATGCAATCTGCTATCATGTATTTAAAAAAATAAAATCAATAAAACTAAAAAAGTTGAGAAAATATTTCATAGAAAAAAATAAAAAATAAAGTACATAGTAATCTGGTGATGGCATAGGAAAGCTGTAGGATATGATCAGTAATTTTCTATCTTCAGAGCTGATTGTCTATTCCAGATTTCTGCTTCTACTTCTGACATACTCTTCTGTTTTTAAACCATGACCCAAGAATTACTTTAGGAAAGTGTGAATACATCAGTACTGTTTGAGAGCATTGCATATCTCCCAGGGAAGGAAGACTTTTGGAGTCAAGTTCAGAGAAATGTAAAAACTAGAATCAACTATTTAAATGTAAAAACTAGAATCAACTATTTAAAATTTAGGTCAAACCAAAGAGGAGAATCCTCCTAAACATCCAGAAAACTTGTGAATTAAAAGAATTTTTGTCATAGGGAGGAGTGCCCAGTTTCTCACCATTTCAGTCTCTTTGTATAAGATGATCTACCCTAAATAAAGTGCATTGAAGAAAGTAAAATCTTTTCTGAAGGTTTTGTAGGATGGATTTTTTTTCAAATACAATTTTTGTCCATCAAAGAACCCCCACACATATAAAAAGGTTTACATAGAAAACAAAGTGCAGAAAGGAGACAAAAGAAAGATTTTCAGAGAGTGGTATTGGTGTTTCCTTATAGGTAATTGAAATAATAATAATTAAATTTTGTAAATTTAATGACATGATATGCATTTTGTTAGAAAAATGATAATAAAAATCCAATAAATATTGGATTTTTGAGAGCCATTTATAAAAAGAACTAATGAAACAGAACCAATAAAATTCAGAGGCTAAAAATAAGAAGTCAGAGGATGAGTCTAACAACACTGCAGGTTAGCACAAAGTAGAAATAGTAAGTGGAATAATGCAGTGAGCCATCTATGAAAAACACATGTGGATCTTCTCCAGGCAGGAAGCCAGGGAAATTTTAGGTTTAACCTTGGGAACTATCCATGGCCCTCTCATGCAATAGATGTCCCAAGGCACATGACCTTTATTTTTGCATTGCCAGGAAGATCTCTCGGGGTCACTCCAGAGATGGGCATAACCCACTGGGAATTGAAAAGCCCACCTTTTTAACCTTTATGGAGAAGAACATTCTGTGGAAGACCTTTGATGTCCCCCAATATAAATAAAGCAGGTGCAGGCTCCATTTTTCTTTTTAGTATAGAAGCTTGATCCATATGATTGTCTAGTCTATCCTGCCCCTGCTTTCTGAATATATTTTCTGTGTCCTGTGGTATCTTTATTCTTCTATTTTTCCTAGTTTTTGTTCCTCAGCCAGCCCATTCCACTGAGGGGAACCCCATTTCCATCACCTGTGCAGGACGTGGGTGAGAAAAGATCATGGGAAAATGTAGAGTGAAAAACAGAAAGACAAAAACATAGGAAATATAATAGGATACTAAGAGCCATAATGAGAGAACCTCACATTCCTATATACTTTACAAGTTTTAGTTATTAAGGCCATAAGTGGTAGTATAAAAGTATAAATTAGAAAATACATCTTCCGAGCACTTCCCCTTCTCCCTCCCTTTCCCTCCCTCCTCTCTTCCCTATTTAGTAGTAATCTTCTTCTCATGCCCTTCCTCTCTATCCCATGGAAGGAGACCTTCATCGTTATACAGAATACATGCATGATGATGTGAGGGGGAAACAAGAAAGAAGTGTATCACATTAGATTGGATAGAGAGAAGTGATGGGAGGGGAGGGGAAGGGAGGGAGGATAGGAAGGGCAGCAGAATAAAATAGACACTAGTTTTGCTGTATGTATATACATGACTGTATGACCAATGTGATTCTGCAAACAGTACACTCAGAAAAATGAGAAATTATACCCTATTTGATTCAAATGTATATGTCAAGATCAATGTACTGTCATGTGTAGCTAACAAAAAATAATAATAAATAAATAGAAAACATAAAAAGTGGATTATTTAACACACCTGTCATTTTTTAAAATACCCCCCAAATCTGTGACACTCTATCCATTGACCTGTGCAGTTCATTCCTCCTTCCCTCCAATCTGGGCTGACAGTGGTGAGTTGTCTATAAGCAATAGAATGTGGTGAAGCCAGCACAGCTTAACTTAGGAACCTAGCTAAGAAAGTCAAGCCTCCTCCTCATGTTTGTCACATTTCCCTGGGTGTACCCTAGTAAAATTTAGGTCAGAAATTGCATCCATTTGATGCAAATGGATGTTTGACTTAGTAGGATGATTGCTTCATGGGAAACATGTAGAGACAATCAGTAGAGAACTATCATGTGGGAGAAAGCATTTGCAGGTGGCTCTGTCAGCAGCCCCAGTTGAACTTCAAGCCTCTGGCCATGTGAATGAACTATCCAAGATGGATTCCCATTTTGGCCAAGTCTTCAATGACCTCAGCTCCAGATGAGATCTAAGTGCAACCTTATGAGAGACTTCAAGAGGGAACTTCCAACAGCTTTTGCCAAATTTATGAATCTGGAAATGATGGACAAAATCAAATATTTTTTTATTTGTGTTGCTATTTTTTGCAAGGACAGATTATTATAAGCAGTAGCACCTAGGACAATTATATTTACTATGAAATAGCAATCCTATGTTCCCATGTTTATTGTGGCATTATTCACAATAGCTACAGTATGAAATCAGAAGCTATAGTCTGGAATCTGATGCCCATTACAAGAGAAATTCATAAAGAAAATGTGGYATAAATATAGCCATAAAGAAGAAGGAAATCCTGCCATTTGCATCAAATTGATGGAAATTAATTTGATGTTAATTAATTTTATATTAATTTAATTTAAATTAAATTAAATTAAATTAAATTAATTTATGTTAAGTTAAATAACCCAAATACAGAAAGTCAAGTACAACATGTTCTCTGTCATATATGGAAGCCAACAGGTTAATTTATTGAATTTGGCAATGCACAGTGATTATGTAAAAAAATTCTTGAAAATATTTTAAGAGTAAATGGACACATCATCTTATCCACCTACTATTCGCTCAGAAATATTTTATATATTCAGGGATAAATGTGGCAGAATGAAGGGATAATATAGAAAAATAATAGCATTGGGGAATCTTCATTAGGATTATCTGGGAATTTTATACTATCTTTGAAGTTTAGTCAGAATTCTCAACTAATCAAATAAATAAATAAATGAGGAAAAAGAAAAACAAAGCCACAAAAATGTTAAGATGAAACTTAGTTGTTTTGGTTTAGAGAGAGGGTGTCCCCTAAAAGCTCATGTGAAAGATAATGAAAGAAAGTTTAAAAGTGGAATGATTGGGTTATGAGACCCTTAATCTAATTGGCACATTAATACTCTAATAGTATTAACTAGGTACTAAGTATAGGCAGGTAGGGTGCAACTGGATGAGATGGGTCCCTGGGGGCGGGCCTTTGGGGTTTATATTTTGTCCTTTTTGAGAAGAGTTCTCCCTATTTCTGCTTCTTGGTGGCCATCTGCTCTCCTCTTTCTCCTGCTTCACTCTTCCACCATGATATTCTGCCTTACCTCCAGCTCCATGAAATGGAGTAGGATACATATGGACAGAGACCTCTGAAACCTTGGACTTCAAAATAAACTTTTTCTCCTAAAATTGGTCTTGTCAGGTCTTTCTATCACAACACAAAAAAAGCTGACTAAAACATTAATAGAATTAATTTCTAGGACATTTCATTAAAAAACACATATAATAGCATCATAAACCTAAAACACCAAAAGTATGCCTAGTAAGAGTTATCTACAATCTCTGAGAGAAATTAGAGATGTACCTTGCAAGTCAGTTAGCTCTATATTGATGTTTACATCAAATCCAAACTCAATATAAATATCATCATGCTATTATTGAATTAAACATATCAAGCTGTTTGTAAAATTTATGTGAAATGCATAAGACTAAGTATGACCAATGCACTGGGTAGAAAAAAATAACACAATCAGAGCAGTTGCTCTAAAGTAATCTTTTAAAATATTAGTCATAAATGCTATAAAGTTATAATTAATGAGGCATGCATGGCTACAAGCATAGAAAATGACTGAATGGAACAGAATAGAACATAGAGCATGATCAGAAATATCTGCACACTGTGTATTTCAAAGGTGACACAGCAGTGGGGAAAAGGCTTTTCAGTAATGATTCTGAGACATTTAGATGTAAAAACAATAATATGAAAGGTTTTTCACACCACACACCCTATGTACAATATCAACCGCAGAAAGATGCAAAAGAAATGTAACTAAACTTCTATATGATACTTTTGGAGAATATTTTTATGATCTTATGGTAGTAAAGTTCTATTTAAAAGGGCAGTAGAATACTAAGTGTACAGGAACAAGAATTTGGCTGCAGAAAGAACACCATAACAGGAGAGGATCCTGGATTAAAAACCATATACAAATATATCCATATTTGCACCAAAAGATATTGACATGGTAATTTGTAGGATCATTATTTGCGTACTCAAAAAGTACAGACTACTCAAATCTCCACATAACTTGAATGGATCAATACATAATCCTGTGTTATTTGACAGAAAACTCTACAGTTGTAAAAATAAATGAGATTAGGCTAAAAATAAAAACATGGGTAAATTCTAAATATTATGTTGAGTCAAAGTAGACATAAATAGAGAACATGCTATGACTTTACATAAAGCTCAAATCCTGACAAAAATTTTCTTTGGCAGTATTTAGAGTGGTCTTCTTTGGAAGGGAGGAAGGTACAGTGACTGAAGCATCTGCAGGTGACTTCTGGGAGCAGTTGCTGATCTCTGATGGCCCAGGGTGAGAAGCTTGACAGTTCTCTATGAATTGCAATAACAATACTAATACTACTAATAATAATGCTTACTTAAAACTCTTCCTCATAATACCCCTTGACAGGGCCTGAAAGATGAATGATCATTGAGAAGAATCATATTTTACAACAGAATGTCTCACTTTTGAAGTCACACTATCTGCTCTTAGAGACATGTTACTCAAATACCAATCAGTCCTGCCCATTTTTCATGAGCTTAAAATCTGTATATCCTGATAGAAGACAGGGTTTTATCAACATCCCACATTTTCCTTACCCCCATAGAGTGTGTAGGGAGGTTAAGGTCCTGCTGTGAATCTCACCTGAGCAGACAACTTACCTGAACAGACCACAGAGGCTGTGTTTCCATGGGCGCAGGCAGGAACACCCAGGGCAGTCACAGGGCAATTCCACAGGAAGGACTCAGACCCTGAGCAGTGGAATTGGTCTCTCCAGATCTCATCTCCTCCTTCCACAAAGTACGCTCCCTTTGGCGTGGAGACGGCTACTCCACAGCCCAGTTGACGGCAAACTACATTGGCATTGGCCATATTCCAGTGGGAGGCACAGAGTGTTCTCCAGCCTCCAGAGGTCTTCATCTCCACTTGACCCTCACACTGAGAGCTGCCATTTTTCATGAGCCGAACATCTGTATATCCTGGTAGAAGACAGGGTTTAGCAACATCACATATTTTTCTTATCCCCACAGAGTGCATAGAGAGGTTAAGGTCCAGCTGTGAGTCTCACCTGAGCAGACAACTTGCACAGCCCCTCTGTGTAGGCAGCTGCCTCCAGGACAGGACACTCTGGGGCAGAACCAGAGCCCAGGTTCCTGCCCCTCACACTGGAACTCTTCAGCCCAGACCTGTTCACCAGGATCTCTGAAGGGCAGGTTCCCCAGGACAAATGCAACCTTGCCACACCCCAGCTCTGCAAAGATGACCTGGGCTGTGGAAAATGTGAAATTCCCATCAGATACTGGAATCCACTCTCCTCCAGAATTCACTTCCACTCGCCCAGAGCAGGGTCCATGTCCTCCAACCAGATGCACAAATCCTGTGGGAGAAAAAACAACAAGAAATATCAGGGAATAGAACAGGAAGTTGCAAGTCACAGGTAGTGCTGTGAAATCTTTCATTTTCCATGGTTAGTTTCAGGGAGTGGATTTAACAGAGTCTGCCTGCTGAGGTCCAGCCCCGGGGGGTGGGTTGGGGAGAGTGGGGTTCCAGGAGTCCTGAAGGAGGAGCAGTGACAGTGAAAGAAGAGGAGTTGGAGGATAGGTTGCAAGTTACAAGCAGCCTCCAGAAGACATATCTGCTGCCCCTGGAGTGATCTTTATTTTTATACCTTTTTTAACAGGTTTTTTTTTCAGGTAGTTAATGGATAGCTTCAAAGCCTGAAACTTTTTTTGATTTACATAATTTTCAAGAGTTACAATCTTTTCTGACATACATTGATTACCTAAGATATTGAGTACATTGTTCAAAATATTTTTCTGTAACCTTAGCTAATGATGATTAAGCTTTTAGGTTTTTACCTCAATCATTAGGAGCTAGGTGACACAACTAGACTACATGACTCCTAACCTATTATTTACTTCTAACTTTAAAGCATACCTATACTTATTTCATTAACCTCTAACTTTAAAGCGTACTTATGATTATTGGTAAGCTTTCTTACTTGTAAACTAAAATCCCAGTAAAGCACTCTTAAAGTTGTGAAAGTCTATTATTTAAAAGCCTACTACTCTTAAGTGCCTCCAAAATATATCTATGTAAATTTTACATTATTCTATTTTTAATTTCCAAGGTAATTTTCTTTTTTCATATGACCTAATCAACTGCTTTCTTAAAGAACTTCTTTGATACTTGGTCAAAGCACACCAATTCTTATGTCTTTGTAATCTTTAACTAAATGGCAGGCTTTACACCTCAACCCATTTGTCATTTATATTAACTATGTGTTTTCCATTTTCATCAAAAGTTTATGTGTAAGGCAAAGGAGGGTCTATTGGTTGGGGAATGTATTTTTATTAGACTCTTGTCCTTGAGGGCGACACCATAAGCTACATAGGTGGTCCTTGTACAGTTGGCACAGCAATTGTTTTTCTGTAGCTAGGCTGTTRTACAGGTTGTGGCTTTAGGATGGGGTTGAGAGGGGCTAGTGTAAATTGTTAACCATGGGATAAATATTTCTTGTTGTTTAGGCTTGAGGGATAACACCATTGTTTATATCCTGAGAGATACTGAAACGCATCTCATGGCATGTCTCAGTTGCACAGTCCCTCTATGTAGGCAGCTGCAAGGACTCTCATTCTGGGAATTTTCCTGCAATCTAGGGCAATATGTGCTTTTAGTATTGATTGATGTATGCCCTGTTATCCGTATCATGAGTATCATAAAACAAAACACTTAACATTCCTAATAGTTCCAGTTTCCAGATGGTGCAGCCCTGCTGCAGCATCCCCCACGCTTTGACCCTGTCAGACCGTGGGTGCAGGAATGTCTTCACCAGGTGCCAAAATGTGAATTCTGTGCATACATATACAAAACATGCATATGTGTGTGTTCAAGAAATGAATATATATATAAAATGTGTAATATGCCTTTTTCTTTTATATGGATGTATTATTATTCATATTATAAAAGTATATGTTTGTATGACTTTCTGTGACAGTTTACCTCCTTTTTTTAAAATAGGATCCATATCTATCCACTGAATGTGAACTCCGTATACAAAAAGATTWTGATTAATTTTTCACTATTTTATACCCTGAAACTTTCAATTCAGATAATAATTCCAACAAAGATAAAATTTGTTAATGAATGAAAAATTCAATATGTATCAAAAACTGACAATTTATATTTATTTCCCATTTGGGGATGAGAAAAGAGCTCACTAAATAGTGTGAGACTGAGCTTATTGTAACTAAAGTAATCAGGGTTCTTTATATCATACTTCCTATTACAGAAGACAGACAATTTAGAAGTAGGAAGTGAATTTATACAGAGATTTGAGCATGGTGTTTTGGTTTTTTGTGTGTGTGTGTTTTTAAGTTATTACTTTGTTTCTAATAAACACAGTTTGACAAATCCATTATGCATCTATTGAAGCTGATCAAYTTCAAGTATAGGTTCAGACATTTGGGAGGGCATTTGATTACCAATGTAAAATTGTAATATAACAGTAAGTTTGTGTAGTGAGGAAGTTCAGCAAGGAATCATTTCTTAAGAGAATACTTTGTGCAATATTTTTTCCCTAACTAAACCATCAAAGTGGAAAGACAATCAAAAGCATTAATCTACCTTATTAAAATTGTTACTTAAAACATTATAATTGGAATACTCCCTTTGCTCTCTAAAGCTGATGTACTAACATGAAGTGTGGATTCCTGAAGTCTTACTACATTGGTAATTTTAATTTATACCATTATTATAGAGGAATAATGATAAATATTTTCTTATAGAGTCAAAATTCCAAACTGAATTCACTAATCTTTAGGAGGTTATGTTTTTAAGAATATGAGACCTRCAGGTACATCATAAAAATCAGCCAGCAATACAGTTATCCAGTGACAGGAGCAACAAAGATCAGCCTCCAGAACAGAAACCTGACTGGCTGAAGGCTCTGCCTGTGAATACACCAGGTCTCCTTCTCTGTGAACTCTGGTTTTCACACAGTTCCACCTTCACATTAAAGGTCAACATCAGCACCATCAGAGAGGGCCACCAGTTTTGCATGACTGATTGTAGTTTTAGCTCAGATAGAAACAGAATCTTGCCTTCATTGTCATTATTTCCTTTTTATTTTCCTTTATTTCATTCTATATGGCCCTTTTCTAGCATCCAAGAGTTAGAATTGCTCAGCTGAGATAGAATAACATTACATCCCGGTTCTATCTGAGATAATCCACTGTGATATCYGAGTACAGTGTCCTCTAGATAAAATATTAAGAGGGCATCTTTGTCTTRGGCACTGAATTCTATTGCAATGTCAAACATTTTGCAGAGATTTTGTATAATTTCCATTAATAAAAATTGGAAAAATTTCAGATAAAGAAATAGATCACCCAATGCAGGTTTCACCTTTACTCTTCTATTCTTCACTGATGGTAAAGACCTAATCCAGCCATAGCCTAAGAGGGCAAAGTGTAAAATTTATACAGTACATGTACTGAGATGATCAACTGAGCATCTGTCATTGTGCAGAATAGAGATCCTGAGATGTTCAACGAGCAGGATTGTTACAAACTCATACATTTATTCATCTTTCAAAACACATTGAGGATTTATTATGTTCTGGGCAYTGTATTATAAAGTACCATATATCCAAAATCCTTGAAACAATTTTTTGAAAAAGATACAATTTAGAAATTAGAGCCAGCTGCCATCAATACAGATAGTATTTTTGGAAGATAATTTACTCTGTTACACTTAATGAAATATAAACACAACAGTCAAAGTGTGGTTTAGATGCATTGTTTAGATTGTTTAGATACATTGTTCTATAAACCCAAATACCCATCTAGAGAAAATGGATATTATCTGTGACCAGGGAGAGTGAAATGGTATGAATTCACACATCAAATGCACCCCGTGATGATCATGAGGACTGGCTTCTCAAAGGAAGATGCTCAGCAGAATATTAGGATGRGCAAACATGTGGGATCTATGTAAATGCAACTAGAACAATTTTATGATGGTGTTTATTAACTATATTATCCTTTTAATGGTTAAGTGTGTTTCCTTTAGCAAATGCACTTATTTGCTGAAATACAGGTCAMTATCCAAGTTGTTAATTCTGTTTTCCGTAGGACATGAAATTTCRTGACAAAGATTCAGTGTGTCCAYGATTCAAGGATATTTATGACAGAAGGCTGGTGTGAAGGAATTATGTATGGAATATGTTAAAAATTATTAAGAATAATGTTTTTATTAAATAATAGGCTTCAAGCAGATTGGATTGAATACAAACACACATACACACATACACATTGCATTGAATACAAACACACATACACATTGGATTGATTCAAACACACATACACACATACATGTGTATATRTATGTAGAATATAGTACTTATAAAATCATTCATATACCTACATTTAATTTTAAATAATAATATTTTAAATTATTAGACTACATATATTTATATCTAAATATTTGTTAGATATTTTAGGGATAGGCATATATAAAAGAAAATTAGTCTCTGTTTGKTATTGTCCAGTGTAGTCAAATATGTAGATGTCAAAAAGAGTCATAACATGGGCTGGGGTTGTGGCTCAGTGGTAGAGCGCTCGCCTCYCATGTGCAAGACCCTGAGTTCAATCCTCAGCACCACATAAAAATAAATAAGTGATATAAAAGTAYTGGGTCCGACTACACTAACAAATATTTTTTTAAAAAGAGTCATAACTCATGGAAAATAAATGATACCTGCTCTTTAGAAAATATTAGAGTGGGTTATAAAAAAGAYTCATTCTAGGGCTTTCCTTTTAACATAACATTTTCAGTGTGTCCTCTAACATGACTTTTCCATATTGAYTAAAGTCTTTCAATTATCTGATATAACACAAATCCTTTCATGGCCTAGAATTGGGTAAGGAATCAATATCACTACTGATGATTATTTTGCTTAAAACACAATTTSACTACCTTAAAGTTGTGGGGGACAAAAGTGGGGATTGAGAGTGTCAGCCAGGTTGGCTCCTTCTCTCAAGACTGTTGGAGGGGATCCGTCCTTGCCCTCCCTCACTTCTGCTGGTCAATAACAGTCCTTGGTGTCCCTTGGCTCACAGATGCATCACTTTAGTTGCTGCCTCTGTGCGTACCTGTCCCTTTTCTCTGTGTCTGTCTCTGTGTTCCCTCTTCTGAGGACATGAGTCAGGTTGGATTAGGAGTATGGATGACAGACTTTAGAATATGACTGAAAAATTCATTGCAAAACAGCAGGATGAAAATTCCTCMCAACCTTTCAGCTATAGTAACAGGCTCTTCTTCTAAATCTGTGATGCTTCAGTGAAGACTWTTGAATCTCCTCCTCTGATGCATCAC